ATCCCGAAAACATTTGCAGAATGTTTCTTGGAGAATATTCTTCATTTGTTATCATGTAACATTAAAGGAACATTTTATAAAACCCTTTCTGTCATCTCAGGCCTCAATAACATCCTGACAATTTTTTCAGAATGTTGCTTTGAAAATGTTCTTCATTTGTTATTGTGTAACATTGAGGGAACGTTTTATAAAGAACATCTTTAATGTGTTACCTAACAACGTCCAAAACACATCCTTAGAATGTTACAAGGAAAACGTTCCACCTTTGTTAACATATCACATTAAAGGAACGTTTTATAAAAAACCGTTCTGTCATCTCAGGCCTCAATAACATCCTCAAAACATCCTCTGAAAGTTGCAGTTAAAACGTTATGTCTTAGTTAACCTTAAATCTTATAGGAACATTATTTGAAAAAATAAACATCCTAAAAAGGTTCTTTGAACATCAGATTAAAACTTTTCTTTAAAACCTTATTAGAACCTGAAGGTAACGTTAGCCAAAGTTGTGAGAACGTTCCCCGCTAGCTGGGTTCATACTGGTTTTGATAAAATGGACCCCGGCAGAGAGTTGTTGTGTATTGCACTGGCCGTGAAGGGGACACCATTAACATCTAATTAATGTACTAATTTTACTTTATTGGCCAATAATTAAACATGTACAATTTTCAAACAGTATAATGTTAGTTGGATAATGATAAAACAGCATTTCCCATCACTTAAGCCTCATTGTGGCTCCTCTCATGTGTTCTCAATTGGGTCACTTTAACTTTATGACAGCCAGGTGTCTTAAAACATTTAAATACAATTTCAATATATCTTTATAATGATTTAATACTAAATGCTATGATAACAAACATGCAGAAGCAGTGTCATTTGCTCTGGAGTCACTGGTCCACTATCTGCTGTCATATTTGCGGATGACCGACTCAAATCCTGAGTCGGTTTTATATAAAATGTCATGTATATTACTAATAAGATACAGACACTTTAACTTTACAGATTTTGACATAAGGTCAAATGTTCATCAAGCCAAGGAGCTAGAAACACGGTGTGCCTAAGCTACATCATCTGAAGAGGAGCTTTTAAATCGGTAACAGGGCAAAAAGATCAGCATGTGACATTCAGTTTAATTTCCCCTCAAGGAATCACTGACAAGTACTTATCCACTGTCTGGCCTTTACACAATGTTCTCTGCTCAAACTTAACTTGCACACTTCTGTGTGTGTGACTGGGTAAGAAGGTTAGTTAAAAGGGCCTTTTCTATAGTGATTTCTGTTTGGAAGCAAACAACTCAACACTTAATTAAACACTCAAATTGTTAAACACTTTAATTTAAGTTGTGTCACCACGATTACTGAGAGGTGCAAAAGGTCTCATTCTTGGAGACAGGGACTTCCTATTGGATGAATATTTGTATTTAAGAACGTGAATATGAGCTCTATGCTTTTTAGTGTGGAATTGCAATTGGCAGTACTTGCTATCATGACAACTTCAAAAGAAAATGTGATTCTCGCAGGAGTGAAAATTCCTGCCACAGCAGTGGGTTTAATTAAGCTCTGCAGTGGTGTTACACTGTGAAGCATCCCACTGGTGCATGGTCAAATGTTACTCTAATATCATGCATAACAACGGAGTGTCAGAATGAATTAAAGCGTGCATTTAAACGGAAACATTTGTGAGTATATGAATTTGTATTTCTAAACATTATTTCCCATGCTACTCTGTATCTTTGCTGTCTCTTCAACAGTCTCTCACTAATGTGCCCTTTGCCCCTAATGGAGAGATGTATTTCATGTAAGGAAACCTTTTGTTGAAATATATATATATATATATATATAT